TGATTTATTGTAGAGATGAGGTCTCGCCAAGTTGCCCAGGCACGTCTCGAACCTGCAGGCTCAGGCAGTCCACTCACCTCAGCCTCCCAAAGCCCAGGATTACAGGCTGAGCCACCGAGCCCGGCTAACACTTGGTTTCTTAAAAAAAAAAAAAAAGGAATGAAACCTCCAAACCTGTAGCTGTTTTAATGCAGTTTCAGAGGAACTTAAGAGTTAAATGTATGTTTTGAAGCATCTTTCAACGAGCATTAATTTTTAAGTTTCAGTAAGTTTTTATTTCTAAATTTCTTTTTGACCTTTCATATCTATTTGGTTATTTTTGCTGTTCGTGTTTCTTGCTTTAGACACCATCTTTTTTTCTTAAAACATCAGAGTTATATTCTACATATGACAATTTTACTATTGAATACTGTCTTTGGGGGGGTCTGTATGTAAGCTTATTTCTGACTCATTCAAGTGGCTCGTGTCCTTTTGAGTTTGGTAACTTTGTGAACTCACATTTGATGGAATTTAATCTGTGAGAATACAGAGATTTTAAGGTAGGGGCTGGCAGGCTAAACCCCAAGCGCTAGTTCCAGTCCACTGCCTGTTTTGCAGATGGTGTACTGGACCCCAGATCTACCCATTTGTGACATAGCTACTTCCGCACTTTCAGAGTAATTGCAACAGGCGCTGCATGGCCTATGAAGTAAAAAATACTGACTTTCTGGACCTTTACAGAAAAGTGTGCCCACTTCTGAGCTCAATTACAAGTATTTCCTCCTGAGATTTACATTTGCTTTGGCCAGGACCGGGGGCACCAAGGGCCTGAAACACGCTTAGCCTTCTTTGAGGCCTCCTCCCAGGCTGGCAAGCCTCGCCCTGGATCCCAATGTCACATTCCACTGTACTGCGAGAAGCAGCAACCCGCATCCTCTCTTGGATTCACTATTCAATTCCAAGGCGGTGTATGGATCTTTCAAGAATGGCTAACGGTGGGTCCTCTCTACCCAGAGACACATGTCCTTTTGTAGAAATGTTCTTGTGGACTAATTCTCAAGTCTATTGTTTCCCTTTCTTAAACTCTATTAGGCATGCTATACCTCGATGCTCTTACTTTTCATTTCTGTCCTGTTTTCTGTCCCTTTGCCTCTTGGCTAGGTGTTCAGGGTGAATTCCTCAGCAACGTCATCGATCCTTCTAGTAACCTGCTTTGGTTATCTTTCTTAACCTCCAGGGTCGATTCTTGCTCCATTTTTTTTGGAAAGCATCCTGTTGTCATTTTATGGAAGCACATCTAATTTTTCTCAAAATCTCAGTTGTATTTGGGGGTGGATGTTTCTGATCTCCATGCTGTCTGCTCACGCCCCTCCTGTCTGCTCTCTTGGGTACTGGGAATTTCTCTCTAATGCCTGCTGATCTGGGGTGCCAAGTTCACACCTAGCAGCAGTGCACCAGTGGGCAGAATGCAACCAGTGCACACCTTGATTACCAGGTAACAGGAGGGCTTTCCTGGAGAGTGACAAGGGGCAAGCTGGCTATTCTTTTCCTTTTTCCCCCTTCAAATCAAGGGACAGCCAGAAGTGAGCATCGGGAGATCTTTTCCCCGGGGCCAATGAGCTTCTCCAAGGGAAAAGTCCCGGCAGAGAAGCCTGTGCTTGACGGGGAGCCCACACGCAGAATGCAGCCTTTGCCTTCATCCGTGTTTCTGGCACGTGTCTCAGCAGGGCTTCGGCCATCCCCGGTGTCCCACAGCCCCTGTGATCTTCCAGTTCGGTTTCCCAGAGAACAGGTGGGAGGCTGGGAAGTGGCCATCTGCCTTAGGAAAGGGAGAGACGGCCCGAGGCTTCCGCGTGGAGTCGTGCAGCCCACCCGATCCTTCGTTTTCTGCCTCAGGACCATGTCTGCCCCGAGCCCCGAGCCCTGTGGGCACGGAGCCCTGACCGGCATCCTCCCAGGCGGTCTGGCTTCTTGCCGCAATACCTTTTGCAGCCACTCAGACTGGCTTCCTTGGTTCCGGTTCTGCTAAGTCAGTCTTTCTCCGTCTGCAGTTTATTTCTCCAGAATTTACTGAACCCCATCCTTTGGTCTATTCTTTTCTATCTGACACTGTGTGGTTATAACCGTACTGACATTTTACTGAGATTTCAGGGAAGAAGAAAAGAGGTTACTCAGCCGTGTTTAGCTGAGAGCCTTCCAACTCACCTGTAAATAACCCTAAGATATAGGACAGGGAATGTTTCCATATATTTTCCCTCTTGGAAGTACTTTAATTAAAATCGCCTCAACTAAGAGCCAGAACAAACTATCATATCAGCAATGACTCTTACTAGAGCTTTCTTAATATAGCAGATCTAAACTTGAAGATGAAAACACAATGAAACAAAGGATAACCAATCACTGAATAGGACAATGAATATATTTACAAATATATTGGCAAGATACAGAAATTGCAAGTCATATTTTAATATAGTTTTTAAAATGCTCCCAAATATAACTACAAATTTAATCAGGAAAAATACCTGAAGGAAATATCTTAATTAACCATTGGTACATTTCAAAGGCGGATGTCCCTGATTCCTTGGATTACTATGCTGTATTTATAAAGCTGTATAAACCTACTGGTTTTTTCACTTGAGTATTTTACACTAAATGCAGTGTTTTTTCAGGTAGTAGTTACCCATAAAACTGTTGACTAAGATCATGTTTTATATGGGGAAAAAAGCTTCCCTTAACTAAGCTGGTAAAGTCTGTAAGTTGGTATTTCCTAACTTTTGATTACTATAAAGTAGTAGTAGAATCCACATTCCCACAAAAAAGTTCAGCTCTTCTTCTATTGCAAAAATCTTTATAAAAAATGTACTCTGAGTGCAATATAATATCCATATTTGTGTCTTAAAAATCAACAGCATACCAAAATAATTCATCATGAAACCAGAGCAAAGAGACAGTGAACAGTCAGGTCTGCCAGAAAGACGCAACCAGGGAAGATGTCCTGGGCAAGCTCTTGCTGCAGCGCAGCCAGGTTCCAGGATGCCCCTCCCCCCCTGCTTTCCAGCGAAGAAGCCGTGCATACTTCTCTCTTAAAAAAACTGTCAACTGCTGTAATTGCTTAAACTCACCCTGAAAACACAGACTGGCTTCGAGAAACCCATTAACTGACAAATTGGGTGAGTTTTTCTAGTGACCTAAAAGAAACAGGCTAAAACCCACGGCAGGGTCAGGAAACTCTAACACAGGTCAGAACAGTGGAAGAGAGATCAGATGTTTTTTATGGAATGAAAGAGCAACAATTCTCATATCTGTTTTGAAGTAATGAAACATTTTGGGCTCAATTTGTCTCTACTGCTTTAAAAACACAGCAATAAACCAAAAATACTAAAACAGCAACCCTATCTTATTCTCAAAAACAATTTTCTGCTATATAAATAACAAGTGCTTGCAACTAATAATACACAACACTAACAATGTCAACTTTTAAGGTGTGGATGGCGTAGGTCTCACCGCCAGCAATGAGAGCGGAATATGCCAAGGAAGGGATGCCATGATATTTTCACAAGACAAAAAATACACACTCAGCGATCACAGCCTAGAGTCCTAGCATGATCCTTATACCACTGCGCGTAAAGTAATTGTCTTTTGACATGGCAGTTGGAACACACAGATCACAGTATCATGGCAGGTAAAATGCAAGACTCCTCCCTAGGGATTCCTGACCATTAAGTGTTTGCACTAGTTCATAATGAAGTTAAGTAGGACTAGAACACAAGTCAGAAAAAAAGAGACTAATTTATTTGTTTTATAAAATAAAATAGAATGAGATCTTATTTAGATAGTCAAGAGGTATCAGGTATCATCTTCACCAGGAATAAATTCGTGGTATCTCTTATTCATTTGAAGATGACAGACAGGAAGGGAAATTCTAATTCCTGCTACCTGCCCAGTCCCTTCAAAAATCCTTGAGGAAGCCAAAACAAAAACACCTTGACTTTTGGTTACTCTTTAAAGTTAAAATTTCCAGATGCCCCAGAAGCCACGAGTTCAATCTGGTGTCTTACTGCGTTCTGGCAAAGAACAGTAAGTTGACAGCATTGCAACTGCAGCTTTCAAATACTGTGACCAATTATCTGAGAGTTGTAATCTGCAGGTTCCATTTTTAAAATATGTGGGATGACACTGTCGATTCGCACGTTGCCAATGAGACCTTTGAAAAACAGTTCTTCGGTGATGGTGGCATTCATCAGTCGCAAGGCAGGCAATCTGAGGAGGAGTCTGGATAACCTAAGAGAAAAGGACAAAGGGCGACGGGGGGACATGGTTACCCATGACAAAGAGATTCAGAAAGACATGAGTGATTTCTGCTTGGATATTACTTGCGACTTACTTCGAGAAAGATGCAATTTTCAAAAGTTAAACCAGAAACTTGGGTATTCTCGGGCCTCAGAGTGTGTGAGACCACGGGACAGACATCAAGGGTGCCTGGCAGACGCCAAGGGGAGCCCTGCGAAGCCCAGCATGGCAGTTACGCTGTGTGGTCTCCACCTGGCCTAAGGCCCATGGAACCAAGCCATTAAACCACAGATCAAGCCAGGAGTTTAGGAATGACTTAGCAACTCGTTTCAGGCTGTGAGGAAGGCAATGCATGTTATCAGGACACGTGAGGGTCAATGATATCAACTGACTTGTTTTTGCCTTGCAGTAAATGACTGAAAATGGTAAAACAGGCCACAGCTGCCATTACTGGGAAGAGCAGAGAACATGGAATCAAGACACAGGGCTTGCACCCTGACTCTACACCCTGAGCTGTGTGAATATGTGCAAGCCACCCACTGGTCATCTGCCAGTGCTGCTGGGAAGACAAGCGAGTGGCTTTGCCAGGCTCTGTGTCAAGTCTTGAGGGTCTCCAGGGCAGGACCGTGCCTTGTGTGAAAGTGCGTTTTAAGCTGAAAACTGCTATCCAAGGGTAATTTATTTTTAAGTAACGAGGATGCAAGAAACAGAGACAGCATCGCAGTCAAAGCACCACAATCTGCATCCATGCTGCTGAGAAGGCCATGATTTTGTGCTTCATGGCTGCATAATACCCCATGTATATGTGCCACATTTTCTTTATCCAGTTTACTTTCAGTGGGCAGCAGGGTTGGTTCCATGTTTTTGCAACTGTGAATAGTGCCCCAATAAACATGTGTGTGCAGGTATCCTTTTGGCAGAGCCAGCATCCTAAGTGAGCCATCACGGAAACAAAGAACTGAACACTGCATGCTGTCACTCATAAGCAGGCCCTGAGCACGAGTCACATTAGCACAAGGTGGGATCGGCAGCTGCTGGGCACTGTTGGGGGAGATGGGGGAAGGGGCATGTGGCAACACAGTGGGTACCTGGTCCACTAGAGGGGGAGACAGGACACCACCTAGAAGCCCACACTTCCCCTGCATGCAGCCTACTTATGTAGCAAATCCTCACTTGTACCTCACAACTCAGTAATAAATAAATACGTTATTTTTAAAAGCACCAGTACCTAACAAAACAGCTGTATGTCGAAGAAGAAAAAATTTAAACACCGTATTTATCTGTTTTATGTGGCATAAAGGAATTTTTGAAACTTTAAAAAACTGAAAAACAACCACAACAAGACGACCTTTCCCAAGTCTGTGGAGCACTGACCCTTCTCTCCTAAGGCCTTGCATGCCCACACCTGTCACCGAACGCGGCCAGCAGCTCCAAACTCAGCCTCCTTCCATGGCTGCAGCTCCCCAGGTAACTCAGTGCCCATGGTTCCTAGGAGCTAACCCGCACCCCGCAAGTGGAGGAAGCAGCGGAGGATAACCAGCTCCTACACTAGGGTTCACTCTCTTGGTGGGCCAGGCTTAAAAAATCTCATTTTCTAATAGATGCCAAAAACTGTTATGTGGAAAATGTTCTTTTACTAGCGTGAAGTATGCTGAACTAACACAGGGTTAGGGTTATGGGCTAGGGGTTAGGGTTAAAAATGTATTTATTACAGCAACACACTTATCCCCTTACTGTGCCACAGGCATGGTTCCAAGCACGTTACATGTATTAACTGACTTAGTCCTTAAAAGAACTGTGAAGAGTGGATACCATCCCCACTCCCTTTCCTATGTGGCGCCACTGGTCGGTGGCCAGTCAGGATCCAGGTTGACTTGTATTTGTATGTACTTGTATTTGTATGTAGCACCAGCTGTTTCCAAAGTCAAGGCTGAGGAAAAACATTTTATTCTTGGAATGAAAAGTACTGACGTAACATTCACAAAAAGTTTCTGAATGAAGTTAATTATATATAACTTCTAGATACCTGTAGGTGTCGTCTGGATATGTTCTGGTTATGTAATCTTGAAATTCCACATAAGCCTTTTCCTGAAATTTCTCAATCTGCTCCATGTTTTCTAAGCCTGGATGATCTGAAGCATTAAAGAAGAGACCGTCACCCTCCCTAGTCAGGTATACAACTTCAGACACAGAGTGCAGATGGATGGGGCGAAGAGTCATTTGGGTAAAACAGCACATGTGGCCCACGTCCCGCACACGCGCGCACCGAGTCCGCCATGACAGACCTGGCGCTGCACTTCCCACACTCAGCTGCTTTGACTTCACACACACATTCTAACATCCAAAGGAAAATGAGACCACTGGGTGTCACCCAAATAGACAGCACTCTCTCCAAAAGTGGTGGAAGGGATTTGGATCCCTGACTCAGCTTAATTAAAAAAAACTTCTAATCAATAAAATATTTGCAGATTATATACTATACCATATTTTTATTTTTAAAAAACCCACTATTAAAGGTTAAAAGGTCCATATGAAATTATGAAAAAAATATAATCTCTATCAGAAAAATTGTAACAAAAATATAAAATAATCTATATAAGCATGCCAATGGTAACTATAATAGTTCATAAAAATGAAAATAGTCAGAGAGCCTCATAAAAATTATGCCAAGCTTAAGAAGTATCAAAAATATGGAAAGCTATGAAATTAAAAAAGAAAAGAGAATGCTAAAAATGCTTAGTAAAATAAAATCATATTATAATTCTACTTTCATATCCATGTTCTTTCAATTGTCACCCAAGGAGAATGAAGGTAGCAAATTGGGATAAGCATGGAGTCACATGTTATTAACTCATGTGAAACATTTAAAGAAATAGTACAAGAAAGCTTTAAAGATCTCAGTGGCGTCACTGAGGGGAGGACGTAGGTTAGCTCAGAGAATTTTATCTTGGTGCACAGGAACAGAAATATATGTCAAAACGAAAAATACAAGACCCAGGAAAACAGTCAACTTCTCTTATTCACAAACTGAGCATTAAGAGCTTACTGTAACTTTACGAACTTTGAAAACTTCAAACTGGCAGGGAAAATAAAAGACCTGTTTTTCCATTTGTTGGTAACTCAGATAAGACTGGCAATTTAACTCCTCAACACAGCAATACTCATCTCTCACTCTAATGATGCCGTCTAATGATGCTCAAAAAAGACACCGAAGAATTCAAATGTGGATGTGACAACAGAAACAAGGCTCCACAGCTCACTTCCCTGATTTCTCAGCCTTCCTTCTTACACTCAGATACATGCCTCATAGCCTAAACATTTACTGATGTAAAGCGCAATCCAGTGGTGTCTGTATATGCACAGAGCTGTGCCCCCATGTCCGTCCTTCCTTTGGAACATTTTTGTCACTCTAAAGACGCCCCCTGCCTGCTGGCAGTCATGCCCCATGTCTCCCTTCTCCTCAGCCCCTGGCAACCCCCAAACTATCTTATGCCTCCACAGGTCTGCCAACATGGCCTACTTCATATAAATGGAACCAAACAACATGCGGCCCTCTGTGACTGCTTCTTTCACGTGGTCACATGTGTGCACGTATCAGAATGTCCTTCCTCTTTATGGCTCAGGGATATTCCACTGTATGTACAGATGACCTTTTGTTTATTCATTTTTCTGTTGACAGACACTTGGGCTGTCTCCACTTTTGGCTATCATGAGTAATGCTCCAAACCTCCGCGCATGTGTTCTTGTGAGGATACAGGTCTGTTTCTCTTGGACTGACAGGAGAGAAGCTGCTAGGACAGATGGTCATCCCATGTCTAACACTCTGGAGAGTTCCTGAACTCTCTTCCCAGGCAACCGCACTAGTTCCCTTTCCCACTTGCCATGTATGGAAGTTTTGATTTCTCCATATTCTCAACAACTTCACTTTTTAAACAAAAAGCAAGGTTTACAGACCTGGGCTGAAGAGTACAATTGCCTTCAGGTAGGCGTATTCATAGCCATCGATGCAGAGCTTAACCATGCTGTTACAAAACTCCTGGAGTTTGAAGATGTGCTCCATCAACAGCTTTCTCCTTTCTGTTGACATTTTATCTTTAATTGAAAACAAACAAATGCTTCTAGTTTTTGTCTAAAATACATGACTATTTTCATCCAATACATTTCCTTCTCACTAGTTTCCAGCACTGAATGTAAGCAATCTATAAATGTTTAAAATTCAATATGTCTGCAATTATAGATAAAACTAATTTTCTTTTTTTTTTTTTTTTTTGAGTTGGAGTCTCACTCTGTCGCCCAGACTGGAGTGCAGTGGCTGCTCCCGGCCACCTCAGCCTTGACCTGCTGGGCTCCGGCGATCCTTCCGCCTCAGCATTCCGAGTAGCCGGAATTACAGGC